TGACTACGAGTTGTTTCGCTTACCACTGTTGTGTTCGGTGAGCGTCTCGTCATGTCTGGAGCAGCGGTGAGTTTTAAAACTCTTTATTTAAGGACACCGGCTCGTTTTTGTGGAGGATGTGTGCGCAGCCGCTGTGAGTTCATACAACCTTACAGACTGGCTAAACACAGACACTTGATCATTGAATGAAGTTTTATTCAACATTGTGTCATCTTTACACACACCCTCCGCAGACCGTCATTTTGAATCTTTTTCTCCCATGAGCTCTGGGATTTGTTGGCCCTGGGCGCTGTCTGCTGGGGATCTCTGGGAAAATGTTGGACACTCTGTTGCCGGGATGAAAAGGGCCGGTCTCTGACGGGCGGGGCTGCGGTGAAGCTCAGCGAGACGGTCGTGGAACGTCTTGCCACCGGCTCATTTCGTGTGGAGGATGTGAGAGGGAGCCGCTGTCAAGTCATCCGAGCTGACAGACTGGCTAAAAATAGACACTTTCATCATTAAATGATGTTTACTCCAAACTCGTGTCACCTCCACACACATCCTCCGCCAAAACAGTCATTTGCTCTGCCATTTGTTTTCCTAGAGTGCCATCTGTTGGCGGTCTTAGGGAAAGGCTGAAAACTCAGTCCTCCGGCTGCGATGCGGGCGGCAGACAGCAAAGAGGCGCACCGGTTGGGGATGACGTCAGCTGCCCTGCAGACGGAGCGTACATCTCTTCCCGCCTCTGAACGTGTACGCCAACAGCGTAACGTGTTGTTCGCTGCGGCCGTCTGGAACACATGCTGGTGAGCTCAGTTGGAGAGTGGTGTCACTGTCTGGGTTACGCTAACCGGAGGCGCGGGACGCTGGTCCACCTGGACATCTTGCTCCGATGAAGCCTCCGTCAGGCTTGGCTCCAGGGGGCACTGAGGGAATTTCCGCTCAGTGAAACCCCTGCTCTGGAGATGGGCGCGGACTGTGGAGACCGGTCCCCCAATCTACCAGGAAAGCCGGCTGTGGCCTCCTCCCATAGGATGTCCTGTTGGGAAAACGAGGCCAGATGGGATCAGGACGGCGAGCCGGAATGGACCCTAGAAAAAAACCTTCCCGCCGGATCATCCGAACTGGCGGGAAAGGCGCAGGACGTAAAAAAGTGTCCCTTAATGTCAGCAGCCTCCTGGATTATGCCGGGCAAAACCCCCAGAGGGTACCGTCGGCCGGGAGCAGTGTGATCGCCGATGCGAAACGAGGTGGGATGAGGTGAGCATTCGCTCAGCCCCCCTCCACCAACACTACACTCTCCAGGAGGGAATGAGCAGCGGGGGCTGCAGCTGAGCGCCGCCTGTCCCGGAGGAACCATCCGATTCGCTCCGAGGGTCGGCGATAAAGAGGAAAATTACAAGATGGCGTTGTCCAGCGTGTAGCGACCTGTCACTGAGAAATACTCCTCGGCGCTTACCTTGAAATAAGACTGCTCGTCAGCTTCTCCTCGGGGAGGAGAGCTCACCAGGACGACCGGAGGTCGACGTGACGGGCCAAGCATTCTTAACAAAGGTCGGTCATCTACACAACTTTCCTTCTTCATTCTTCTGACAGTGCTATTAGCTCGCTGAAGAAAAATGGGAGCCGATTTCCCGCTCTTAACGTAATTTATACGGACCGGGTGGGGCCCACACAGCAGGTGGGCGTGGACTAAATTTTTCAGTGTAATGTTCTGCATATCGGGATAAAACCCATCAGCGACAGCCTTAAAGGGCGAAGCCTATATGAAATAGAACTTATAATTACACGATTTTAATAATAATAGGTCGTGATCTAAAGTGAGCCACTCTGCGGCTGAAACTCCAGGGCTAAAAATGAGTCCCGCACTGGCACTGGTTAGCAGCGAGGTTCTTTCAGCAGCGTGTGAGCAATGTTAGCAAGTCCCGTCAGCAGCTTGATGGTAATGACGACCGCAGCAGCTGCCCTCCCAGTCTGCCCTCCAGAACCGGATACAGCAGAGAACACACAAGGTTTCCCTGCAGAAACGAACAAGTCAGTAGAGTTCGGTCCGTACAGGCGGATAGAGGTTCTTGTTGGCAGCTTGATGGTAATAACGACAGTCTTAAGAACATTAGCTGTAAAGTATATAAATGAATATAAATATATAATGTATATAAAATGTTTATTTTAAACAAAATGCATCATAATCTTTCCAACTGCCTTCATTGAAAAAAAAATGTTTTTTCCTGTTTGGAGAACATCAACATGTTCAGGAAAAAAGATTTATCAATAAAAACTCGTATGTTTCAGATTTTAGAACAGTTTTATTTCTGCCTCTAAGCCTCCAAACAAAACAAATATTTTATGTCACTACAACAAACCTCACAGGAAGTGACATTATCTACAGCATAAATTGGACCTTCAGGTCGCTGCAACGTCAAACAAAACAACAAAATAAACGTTCACAGGAACAAGTCTATGTTCAGAATAAATAAAAAGGTCTAAAAGCAAAGTGCTGCTGTATGGCTTGTTCTGCTGATCACATTTTATTTACAACAAAGAGCTGAAAGAGACGGAGTGCGGAGCCCACAACATGCCTGTAAAAGACACTTAGAACACACATGGAACATGTCTGAAACAGGCCTGAAACAGGTCTAAACAGGCCTAGAATACACATGGAAAATGCCTGAAACAGGCCTTGAACATGCCTGGAACAAACATGGAAAATGCCTGGAACACACATGAAACAGGCCTTGAACATGCCTGAAACAGGTCTAAACGGGTTTGGAACATGCGAGGCAACAGCCAGCGAAGTATTTCTATAGAAACGGCCGAGACCTCAGTCCATTGTCTGTTGGATGTTTCCTGCTATTTGGTAAGGTTGACCTCTGGTTCTGAAGTTTTTATTACCGGTACATGAAACTTGAACCAGAACTTAAGAGTTGTTCCTTGTTCCGTAACTGTGCTGCTGATTGACAGCTTGAAAGGGCGGAGCTTCATGCAGTGCTGTTTCCTGGATGTGTTTTGGGGTGAAGCTACCTGCATCATTGCTCCATGGCTGCTTTTATGGACGGAGTTTCCAGTATCTGACTGCCTGATGATGATGATGATATACAGAGGATGAAGGATGGGTTGGAGTGATTCTGTCTGCTCTGGTCTTCAATGGACCGGGTCGATTCCAGCATGTTTTCAGAGCACTGACGTCAGAAACCTGATGAAACCATGAAACCAGACAAGTTCAGAGAAGCAGAACAAACTACTCACTGCTTTTATCTGCAGACTGAGGAAGAGGAGGGTGTAAAACACACAGCCGAGGAGCTCACTCCAGCGGCACCACAACTGGACCATCACACATCAGTAGCTGCATCTGAACACGAGGTAGAAGCAGGATGGATGTTAATAAAGTCTTAGTTTCACCTCCACCTGCTGCAGCTGAGCGTCAGAAACCTGGTCCAGACTTAAAGCCGGTCCTGAGTTTGGTCCTCAGCTCTGCTGGTACCTTTGGGTTTAGTCTGCGTCTTCAGCTCCTGCTGAGGATCAGAGCTGATGGTTGCAGGTTCAAGTCCAAACATAAACCTGCAGGATTCAGTTTCTTTAGACTCAAACATCAGAACTCCTGCAGTGTCACAGATTCAGGTTCTGATGAAGAGTGTTGATTCAGTGAGCTGTAAACAAAAACAACATGTGGAAAACAAACAGCTTCTCTCTGCTGCCACCTGGAGGCCGCTTTGTGTCATCACATCAGGACGTTCAGAGCCACAGAGGTCCACATTAAAGTGCTGAGGAGGTAAGGATTTACAATCCAGGGGTTAGAGGTCCAACAGAACAGTCCTGGTTCTGTTGAGTCGTTGTACTTCATCTTTATCTCCACTGGACTCCAACTTGTTCACAGGTTTTAGAGTCCGGAGTGGAATCTGTGTCCACATTTATCTCCAGGACTCAAGACCAAACTAAAAACAAACAGAGGGTGAAAAAAACACCAGAATAAATCTATAAAAGGTAAAAAAAATAACAACAACAAACAACAACAACAGGTTTCTAGTGTTGCTGATGTTTTAGTTCATGTGAATCGTGTTTGTTTTTCTTTAGGATCAACTTCACTATGATCCATTTAGTGGCCAAAGACTTTAACTTTAAAACAGAATCATCCAAACAAAAACTGATCAACACGATCAATACTTGATCATTCAGATTATCTCGGAGACGAGCAGAAAGTTCAAGAGATTTTCAGTTTGGGAACATTTTGTACTTAAATGAAGCGACTTGACAAACCTCAGAGGAACGTGCAAGGAGTGTCTGAACATTGTGGCCACACCCCTCCACACACACACACACACACACACACACACACCATCACACACACACACACCCCTCCACCCACACACACACGCGGGCACACATTGAGGTCACATGACTTGGACCAGTTAAAGACAAAATGATTCAGATGTGTTCCAGCACTGAGGATCTACGGAAACTCATTAGTGACCAAATGAAGTCCGATCATCAGTTAAAAACTGGATCAAATTCAGGATTTAAATTATTCACTTTAGTTTTTGATTTTTTTTTTTCTTAATTCAGTTTGATTCTTGACTGAACATAAAAAGACCTCGTGAATGTTCTGGTTGGTTTTATTTTCTGCTGTTGCAGAACATAAGAGAACCGTTAGTCATTTGTTGATGAAACTGTAAAGAAAGTTAATGTTGAGGTGATGTCACAACCAGTTCTGGGTGCAGTTCCAGAGCCTGATTCAGAACAAACATTCTGTAGAAACTGGTCTCAGATCAGCACTGCCTTTTTGTTTTTTGATCACTTTAACAAACATCTAAATATTTGATGGTAAATGTTTTTATGTTCCATCATTGATTGTTTTCACTCTGATGTGTTTGGTCACTGATGATGCTCCGTACTTCCTGTTTGTTTATAGCAGATACATCAATAAATAAACAACAATAAACAAACACACAAGGCTGCTTCAGAGTGTTTTTTTGTTTGTTTAGTCATGGGGGGGGGGGGGGGGGGGATCCTGACTCCACCCCTCGCTCCGTCTCTATGGCAACACTCCCACACACCTGTGGTCGTCATGGTGACCTACAGGTGGAAGTAGAGCAGTCTGAGGGGATGAAAAACAAAACTCCTATGATGCGTTTGTAGTCCAACAATTCCTGTCCAGCTTTTCACAATAATGCACCCATGAACTAACCAAAATTCTGACAGGAAACAGTTTTATTGTGAAAACCAGCAGCTGAAACAGTTTCCTGGTGTGAAAGTGCCTCATCCTTCAGAAGTGAAGTTGTGAGCATCTGAACATTACTCCGCCTCCACCTGTTTGCCGCTGTGCTTCTGAAGCTCCGCCCTCTGGTTGTTTTCGCCCTCGTTCTTTTTGTGTCCGTCTTTGACGCCGCTGTTGCTCTTGGACATCGAGGACGAAAACGACGTGACCTTTAGGCTCTTGGACGTCTTGGTCCCGCGTGTCTTCTCCTTATTGGTGGCGTCCTGAGGCAAAGAGGGACTGGAGCGTGCCCTCTGCAGGCCGCCATCTTTGAACAGCTGAGACTCAAAGGCCGACAGGTCCTCGTCTCCGCTCGCCATCTTGGCTCGCAGCAGCATGGCATACGTACCGTAGCGCGTTTTCTGCAGACAAAAGAAGCAAGAGGACGTCAAGTCTCAATTTAAAGAACATCTGAAGCTCCTCGAAGTTCCTTCAAAACCAGACCTGGTTCTGCAGAACGTTGAAGGAAGCCACGGCTTGAAATACCAACATTCATTGACTTCCTTTAGCCAATCAGACGATATCTGGGCTTAAAACAGTCTAAACTAGGGCGGAGTCAGGCTTTTGTTCTGACGAGTACCTTTGAACATTATTTTGAAACACAAGCGCTCAAACCACTTCCTCTTTGTTCTCCTGTTCATACAACTTTAAATCCTGAATTTATCTAAACATCCTACAGAATTCTCCCAAACATGCAAACAATTAAAACCAGATTTTTACCTGCACGGTGTAAAAAATACAGAACCTTTTTAATTTATTTAAAATCAGATAAATGTTTCCTGCTTTGGGTCAGTTAAATTTCCCCAAATTATGCAAACAATGTGGGCGGGTCCAGATGATGACATCATGGCTTTAGAAGCTTTTGATTGGTTAGTGGAGCACATTGAAGTGAACTGGAGATACACCTGAGGATGCATTTTAAGACAAAGCTCAAACAGACTGATTCTTTGTGTTGGATCATGGGAAAATTAATCAGTCTGGGTATCAGGAAGTGAACCGCACAACTCTTGGGTCCAAGATGGCTGAAAGTTCTGTTCATACTGTTGTGGCCATTTATGTTGAATTTTTGTAAATCACAAGTTCTATCAATTTAGTTTTTTCTTGGGCAGTTAAAATATATTTTAGTTAACTTGGAATCAAAATCTGCAATTATTTTTTATTATGGAATTGTTTAGATTACTTTGGTAGCTTTTGGACCCGCCCATTAATTAAAGAGATTAAGAACACACCAGAGGGGTGTGGTGGGGATGCTTTTGTTTGTCAAATGTCTTGTGTGATGATGGGAGGTTTTAGAATGATTTTTTGACCACTTTTGAACTTTTAAGATGAGATTATGTTAATTCAAAATATCCTGATGCATGCTCAATAATTCAGGTAGAAAAATCTAAAATAAGTTAAATCTGGTCCTCTGGACATTCAAAAAATTATAAAAAATAAATAAATTGTAGAAACGTTTCATCTTTCATCCGAAATACTTCCTCAGTCTGAGGTGCTGTATTCAGCTCAGTCTCTTAAATAGCACCTTCTCAGAGTGGATCAACCAGTTTTTGGTTTGGTTGTCAGCAGCAAACTGGTTGATCCACTCTGAGAAGGTGCTA